CGGTCGAACACCAGGCCCTGAAAGGGACGGGGCCTATCCGCGGTGACGTAGGTGGCCCGCACGTGGTCGGGCAAAGTCGCCAACCAGGCGTCAGTGTCGTCCTCGGCGTCCTCGACCATCTCCTGGAGCTCTCTAAGGACGTCCCGCCGGATGCGTACGAGGTTGTGGCGCCACTCCCGACGAAACTCCAGGATGGCCTCCAACGCCGGCTCGAGGGTTGGCCAGCCAACCAGCGAGTGCTGCATGGGGGCCGCGGCCTCCCAATGGCGGTCCTCGTCCAAGCCCTCGCCCAAGACCTGCGGCTCTGGCCTGGGGGGGGTGACAGGTCGCCGTCGGGGCACACCGTCCCGTCCCGACGATAACTGCCCGGACATCTCACAAAGCACCAGCCGAACCACGAGGTGGTGCCAGACGGAGGTTCGCGGGGGAGCCTGCCGCCACGTGCCGTGGGCGGCAAGGACCTGACGATGACCCCGGCCGAGACGCACTGCGGCGAGATGTCCGCCCCCTCCGCAATCTCGGCCTCCAGGCGTTCCGCGTCCGCCCAAGTGTCGGCGACCCATTTTCGGACGGAGTGTGGGACTTCGGAGCCTCGGAGATCGGCGCCGGGCTGGTGCAGTGGGAAGCGGAAGGCGTCCCAGGCGTTGGTCGGCTCATCCCGGCGCCGCTGGCTCTGGTTCCGTGTGCCATACCCCGCCCGACCAGGGCGGTCCACCGGAGGGAACGGCGACTTCGGTGGCGGGAAGATGCCCGACTGCCCGGGCGAGGGGCCCGTCGCGGAACTGGTACCCGGGGTAGAAGTCGAAGAGGCCGCCGGCAGAGCGGATGCCGAAGACGACGCTGGCCGGGAACTCCAGCGCGTAGGCGACGATGCCGGCAAAGTCCCGGAACCAGGCGCCGGGGTGGTCACCTCAGGCGCGCCCCCCGTCAGGGCCGGCCGGCGTTGAGCGGCTGGCGTTGGGGTGACCTCCGGCGCCGCCTGGGATCCAGCCGCCAAGCCGCCGAAGGGTGGCCTGGTCTCGGTGCCCACCAGGTGGGCGGGCGGCCCCTTTGGCTTGGCCTTCGCCAAGGCCGCCGCGTCATCGGCCCGGCGCTGCTCCTCCATCTCCCTCTCGATTCGGCTCTGGAGGGCCTGGGCGTAGGTGGCCCCGTCGTGTAGCAGCCGCATCCCGGCCAGGCTGCGGGCCATCTGCTCCTGGCGAATAAACGCCTGGCGGCGCAAGTACTTTTTCGAGGGCCCCCGGCCAGCATCAGGGCCGGGTGCCGGCGCAGGTGCCGTGTCTTCTGGCGCCGGCGTCGGAGAGGGCTCGGCCGTGGCCTTGGCGACCACCGGCTCAGGCGAAGACGACGCTGCCGACGAAGGTGCTGGAGCCGCCGCGATGGCCGCCTTGGCGGGCGGTGGCGACTGCTGGGGCTGCACCGGCGCCCGCTTGAATGGTGGCCTCTTCGGCTGCTCGGCGAGGAACGCGATGGGCCGGTCGGGGTAAGGCATCGGCGGTGCCTTGCTCACCTTCGCCTCCGGCGTCTCCACGACCAGGGCCGGGGGCGGCGCCTTCCTGAAAGGAGTCTTCCCGCCAGGCGATGTAGAGGACGACGGCTGCTGTCCAGAAGGCGACGGCCCACTCGACGCCCGGGCGGCGTCGCCCTGGTCCTGGAGGTACGCCTCGAGCGCCGTGGCCGGCGGATCGGAGTCGTCGTCGGGCAAGCGCCGCCTGCTCCGCCACCGCCGTGGCGTTCTGCTCCTCCCAGAAAATCCTGGCGTACGCCGGCCCAGGGCCCGGGTCGACGACGCCCGCTGACGAGGAGGGCGGCCCCACAGGCGTGTCGTCGAGGAGGTTGATCTCCGGCGGGACGGGCACCGCCTCAGCACCGCCCCCCAAGGACGGCGCCACATCCACCAGCGGCTGGGCATGCGCCTGGCGCAGCGCCCCGTCCAATCGAAACAGGCTCCCCGGCGACAAGGCCCGAATGGCAGCAGCCAACGCCGCCTGGGGGGTGTCGCCCACGAAGGACGAGAAGGCGATCTTGCCGTCGGTCTGGGACGCGACGTCGACCATGTCGAAGGCGGGCATCAGGACGTTGTGGACCGTCTGCACCCCGACGTCGGCCATGTCCACCACCACCGGAGGCGCGCCCACCAAAGGCGCCCCGGCGGGATCGGCGAGGAGCTCCTCCTCATCCTCGCTGGAGGAGGGCACGCCCAAGACAGGCGGCGCGATGTCCTCATCACCTGTCGTCGGTTCGACCAGAGCCGGCTCGCCCGATGTGGGCGGCG